TCAATAAAAAAACTAAATTCAAAATACATACTTTAAATGCTTTCTACCTTCGCTTTTCCTTGGCAAGAACTCTTTTGGCGGTGTTTAATAAATAATTTTCGCAACAATTGTGATGATAAACGTATAACGGTTATAGATCTGAGGTTAAGAATGTTTGTTTGGAAGTAATATTTAGAAAGTTTCTTCTAAACGACTGTTACTACGAATCAAAAGTATTTTGAATGCTATAATAAAACTTTGCAATTAATAAAATAATAAAAACATAAAAGAGAGCAACGTTGATCATTTGTTTATATACAAAGTATGTTAAAGAAAACATTATCATTGACAAGAAGGATGTTGAAAATACTTGCCAAAGAAAATTTTCAATGCCACCATAAAAGTCTGAAAGGTCGTTTTGTCGGCGAGTGGGTTCAATGATGAGAACGGGACCAAGAAGACCTGCCTGTTCGTGGGAATAACAGTGGATCGATTGCTAGCTTTTAGTGTGATGTGAGGATTTCAAACTTGCTTACTGCTGTAAGAAGGAATAAGCCAGCGTGAGAAAGGAAGATTTGTCTTGATAATCTTCAGGAATCGAAAGTTAGCCCTGAAAATAGCAACTATATCCTTCTTAAATTTGCTTAGTCCCTTCCATCTCTTTTCTTGTCAGACATTTTCTTCATTTCTCCGTATTTGATCATCCGCACCCTTCATGCAACTGTTTCCTATACAGGGCTGGATCCAAAGCAAATTTGAAGGAGGGGCAATTGGTAGTGGGGGCGCTGAAAAATTTTCAAAACCTGGTTACGACAGTACGCTGTACACAACAATTTCAGATCCATTTTCAGAATAAACAACATAACTTTGAGGTAATCCTTGAAACAAATCAACCTATCGGTTCAAGAACCTTTTTCATCTGATTCTCATCCTTTAAAAGGGATGCACAATTTCCACAAAAAGGGGCTCCAGACTTGCTTCAACTCGTTGAGGGAGGAGCAACTGCCCCTAGTTGTCCCCCCTTAAATCCGCCACTGTTCCTATAAGTGGCTCCTCCTTAATATAAGGTTATCTAGGCAAAATCATTGGCCGAATGAGGCAAGTCGTTTGAAACATGGAAATTCATGGAAGTTCATTGGTGAACTTAAATGTGTTCATCGATTTCAAAAGTTCTTTGTATTTTCAAGTTGTCAAAATTTGTCGATAATTCATGCTGAAAAAACAAAGCCCCGTAGCAGAAATATTTAAATCCCAAGGTAGTGCCATCACAGTAATGAACAAATCACTCAAAAGTAGACAGGTGGCCCTAGTAAGCAGACGCTGAGAAAAAGCATCTCAACATCGCGCAGAGTGATTTGTGATGACCAAAACAGTATAGTGAAATCGAAAGAAAATCATATTTTTATTCCAAAAATCATAAAAGAACCAAAAATCAGAATAAAAGATAGTATATTGAAGCTCTGTATGCGGGGGGGGGGGGGACATCAATATTTATTAAATTTAATTTATTTTATAATTCTATTTCATTGCTTAACTTCTCGTTGTCGCGTTGCTTTGTTCCTGAATATGTTTCGTATTATCATTACCGGCGGACAGCATATCCTGCGTTTCTTCCTTCTTACACAAGATAGGATATGCTAAGAGCCATAACAGAGTCAAAAATAAACATCAGATTATTATTTAGTTTCCTAATATTTTTATTTGAATAATAATTCATTTTTTGGAGAAAATGAAAAAATTGAAAGCTTGCTGGGAACCAAACTTGATGTTCACATGGCGAATGTTTTCGCGGATTTTCTCCATATTTCAAAGCCATAATTCCACTTCTTCCATTTAAACAAATTCTTTCTTTTTTAAAAGATGACCGAATTCTTTGTTTGATTTATACATTAATTTTTATAAAAGAATACGGTATATATTTTCCAACCTCGATATTATAAAGAGATATGTCAGAAAAAACGTGATATGGCAGTCAAGCGACTCTCTGTTATGAACAAACGAGACACTGCGAGCTGAGCAACATTTTCATAATATTTTTAAAAATTGGATGATACAGAGCCTGGATATTCTTATAAAAAATGTTTTCATCGAAAAAAGAGTGTAAGGGACAACATGGCGCACAGAAAAGCTTTTTTCAGCTTGGCTCAGGCAACATTAGGCTGTCAAGGTTACCCTGATTTCTTAAGCCTTTTAATCATTCTCAAAGGGGTCTATTTCTTGAAAGAATTTGCTTTGTTGAAATCCAGCTCCAAATTTCTGCCTGGAATTTAAAATCCTTTATGACAGTATTCATTTGAAAAATGTTGAAGAAAAATATTTTACATTCTTGAGAAACTTTTCTTGATTTTGACCTTAATTCAGATAAGGCTACCGCAAGAGAAAAACCAATGCTTGAAGCGTATCAAAACATTTTGAAATTGAGATAAATCCTTTTGAAATTCGGTCGGAATTTCAATTACTGTGTGAAAAATTTCCCTACAGTCATCCGAGGGTTTCAACAAGGCGAGTCTTCGAACAAGGATTGAAAAGGCCATTGGTCATGCGAGGAATGTTCTTATTTTAAACCATCTTGCCCTTACATTTTTCTTTAGGGTGGTATATGAGGAAGTTAATATCTGTCACCAGTGCTGGAAAGTAACTTACCTCTGTAATTTTTATATAAAAAAACCTAGTTTTTAAGACGTAATTTTTATAACTCTTTTTGGAGAGAGGAACAAGAGACAGACATTAAATGAGTGTGGCAGCCCCTCGTTCTGGAATTAAAGAGCATGCGCATTGAACAAATAAGTTATCACGCATGCTCTTCAACTCCAAAACTTTCCATCTCTCGTTCCCATCAACAATTAAGATCGACTCTCAGTTCTCCAGTTTTATAACGCTCACCGAAATTTAATATTCAGCGTTTCTTAAAAGTTTCTTAATTTTGATGTCATCGTTTCAACATTTGGGGTCCCAACCATATTGCTGGGTTTTCACAAAATTTCGGGGTTCTGGGTTTCTTGTCAAATTCAATTCTTCCTATTTTTGCTTTTAGGGTGGAAGTGTCTTGAGCTTTCCTGATTTTCCAGTACTTGTTTATTATTTTGAAACACAAATTACAGCTTTTTTTAAAAAATGTGTACTTAGACAAGTTTTAGACTGTTAATATCTTCTTCTTAAAGATGTTAATTAACAGAAAAGTCAGGCTCTGAATCATCCAGTTTTTGAGAACATCATAATCATTCGCAATGATTATCAAAAAAATCACGTGACTGACACATCTCGCCTTCAGTAGCGTGGTTTCTATTGGAAGCTGGGGGATGTTCCCCTTAAACCATATCAGATTTGAAAAAATAGGAATACTTTAAGAATATAGACGGATGGAAAACAAGAACTTCTCAAGAATCTCAAGGCTTGTTCAAATTCTTAGTATACTTAATAAATACGTTTATGTTTATAAAAAAAAAAGTTTATGTTTATACATTGTCTCTTATAAGCAAATATCTCATGCAACAGGAAATTTACTGTCAATAACGCGATTCTAATAACATAATCTGAGTCCCATACAATTCAAATCCTATCAGAATTCACTTGAAACTTTATAGGCAACGAAACTGGACACTTGTCAGTGCAATTTTATAGCTTCGTCCCTGAGGAAGCAAGCGCCATTAGCCTAAATGACTTGTTGTCAATAGAAACTGCTATGCATATTCCCACAAACTCAGCATTTTGATTAATCGTCTTTGAATATAAGATATAATTTTGCATTCAAATAAGAGAACGCAATTTAATGCGATGAAGGTATGCGGTTCATTGAAGGAGCAAATGAATTACCACCCTGCTACGCTATATGTATATTCACTCAATGCTTATTGAAAGATACTTCTTCAGACGACATTACGTTGCTTTGAAAGTCAAATTCTCTTATCTGGTCGGAGCAATGCAAGAATCAAGCACATCCTCAAAGGCACGCTTTCTTTAAAAATATCAAAATTAGAAACATTTTCCTCGTAAATTTTACCTGCAAATAGGCATGATACTTGAGCAGGTTTATCGCCATGTTACAAAAATAAACAGCGAAAACACGTTTTGTCTCCAACTTAATATGTTTTGAAAGCTACCTGCTTTGCAGATTGCGGGTACACCTTCTCTACACTGACATCTCAAAACATCATTACACTGACAAGGTATTCAAATGAAAATTTATGGCTTGGGAGTTGCTGAAACAAAGAAAGGGGGATTTCGTTTTTAATATATTCAGCTAGCTTTGGCACTGACAAAAACATAATATAATAGTAGACACTTTTTCTTTTATAAGAATACCATTTTTGCTGTGCCTCAACGTTCTTAATTGTTTTATTCTTAGCCTAAGATTAGTCTTAAATTAAATTTGGATTGCATTATAGTGTCTGTGAATCCAAGGCCAGATACGTCTAATTTAGGACATTTGTTTGATTTAAGACAGGGTGAAGCTCACATTTGTTTTGCTTTCCAAAAAAACTCAATCAATCAAAAAATTTGATTTTCGATGAAGCTTGAGCCTTGCGTTGTTGCTAAACTATTCTTGCATTTCAGCGATTTTAAGTCTTGATATTCCGATAGACAATTTTTTTATAAAAAAAAGGTTTGTAACAAAATTAGGTTGTGAATGTACCGCCTTCGTTATCCTGAGCAACTCAAAAAGTTTTATTTACGTATAACATCAGTACCGGAATAATTACTTTGCTAGTTTCCTAAATTCTCTTATTCAACTCGTTATCGTATATAGGGAAGAGCGACTTAACAAAAGAAGTTTGGAGGTCGTTTTCTTCCAACAGAAAATTATATTATTCTTGAACTGTCGTCAAAGAATAACGAAATTCGCATTTAAACGGTTCTTATTGAAGAAGCAACAGTGGATGATTTAATTCATTTACTTACTGTTTGTTTAGTTTTGATATAGTCATTTGAACCTTAGAGAGCATTAAGTGGAGATCTGACATTGAAATTGCATGATACTGAAGCTGAACTTCTTACAGTGTAATGTAATTGTGATTTCTTACCTGCAGAAGAGGCGCCTCTTTCAAATCACCAATTCCCGCACTGAATTCTGCTTATCCATGAGACTCGACACGTATTCCCTTGACAAAAGTAAAAGCACAGAATCGTTATAGACGATTAATTGACGAATTCCTCTTCGTATTTGCTCGAATTGCATGAAATCAACTCTTGGTGTTGATAAACAAAGCTTGATCGCGACTGGCACGAAACAGCCGCAAGTCGAACTCTTTTCAATTTCAAACACTTTCAAGTTTCGTATTCAATGCCCCTTTACAATAGAGCAAGAATGAATCGGGGCAGGAAGACGAGGCTTTCTATCCGACTAAATAACGCAAAACCACACATGAAGTAAATTATTCAATTCACAGAGAGGCAGAACTCTTTCGGAATTGTGCATTCACGGATGAATTGGGAATTAATAGCGGGTATTCAATGTTCAGCAACTGCATAAAATATGGAACCAACCAGTTTTTTGCAAACAGACCATTGAGTGATAAATAATAAATTAATCATCGAGAGTAGAATTCAAATCAAATTCTCATCTTTAGTTGGCCAAATTGTCTGTATTCGTTATTAGGGAAAATAATAGTAATGATAATAATAATTCATTTATTTACAGTAGGCGTTCTTTACAGTAGTAGCTAAACGATAAGCTAATTAAAGCCTACTATTTACAGGAATAAAAATGATAATATTATACAGTGATATAAAAGCTATTTAAAGAAATAAATTAAAATACCTAGGATTTAATTAGATAAATAGTTGAAAATATTAATGTTGGACCATTCATGTCAAGAACCCAACCTGTGCTACAAAGGTTCTACATAGCCTGCAGCTGCAATTATCCTTCCATTGTTTGATCTTTACTTTGAAGGTATGAAGAGTTTTTAGGTTTTTCAAGTTTTCTGGTAGATTGTTCCAAAGCTTGCATCCTAAATAGGACAAGGTTTCGATTCCATGAGTGATGGTTCGAGTTTTTGGGATTTCCATTAATCTACTGTTTTTAAGATGGTAGTGGCTGCTCTTTTATATGAATATTTCATTCATAAAGCTTGGATTGAGTTTATGTACAATTTTGTAGATCTCAACCATTAGTAGTTGAAGGTTTCTTTTGTGGATGGAGACACAGTTGTTTTCAATCAGGAGAGTATCAAAATCTGACACATTGTTTTTGCATGCGATACGCAGTGCCTTTTCATGTATATGGTTTATCTTATTATTTAGGCTTTTGTCACAGAACATCCATACAAGTGGGCAATAGCTAAATTTGGATAGAATAAATGCCCTCATTGTTTGCTTGAGTTGTTCTTTGCTTAAGTAGCATGAAATGCGGGAGATGGCATGCAATTTTTGACTAGCCTTTTTACACAGTGTTTTTATGTGTGGCTTAAATGAGTATAATCACAGTTTCTTGATATATTTTTCAAACATTCAAACATTTGATTTACGTAACATTTCTTAGCATCGGATTCTTACCTTTGGCTTGAAAGTTTCATTAAAACATTCGCTTTCAGTTCTCTGCAATTTGTTGTTCTCCGCCTTTCAAAGGACATTGTCCAAAATTCGGTCCGCTAAGCCCAGCAAGTAGTTTTTAATCATTACAGGGCCGTTAACAAAACGCAGTAGGCCGTTTTCTTTGATAGGGCCAGTCTCTTTGAGATGCTAGAAAAAATTATATTTTTTTCATAACTACGATTTTTCAGGTTTTTTATATTTTTTCAAGAAGAAATATTGAAAGACATTTTAAGGCTTTTACTTTGTATTATGTATTTTTGATGAGTTACATTCCTTTCTTTCAAACAGGGCCCTTCCAAACAACAATACTCCTAGTATTGACAAGATTTTACCCTGTATAAATATTCCTCTTATTATTACTATTATTATAATGGAAATATTAAAACGTAAAATGCAAACAAATATTTAACATCTTACTTGCATAAAACTTTAATGCTGATGCGTTTTGGGAACAGTTTGAGGTAGGAAGCATTAAGGTATCTTCTCATATTTTAACATTTTGCACTGTTATAAGTCAAACCCTGAATGAATATACAATGGATTTTCTAATCAGAGTTATTTTGATGAGGAGCGTTTATGCTCTAGTAAGTTCACTTGTGATGATACTCTTAACTGCTAATCTTTATAGTTTATGGTTTCTGTATAGGCTTTATTTGAAGTGTTTGGAAGTATTTCTTGATGTTTGGGTATGAAACTGCTAGGGTTTGATATGCAGTTTTATATTTTCTCCTGCTCCTTGGTCTAAATAATTTTATTGTTTGATTCGGCGTAGACTTGGTCCCACTTTGCTTGCCAAGCGTGATTGAAGCGTGCTTTTCGTTCTTCCCTAGCCTCCCCCCCCCCCTCTAATCACTTGTTATTTCTTTATTATTGTATATTTATAGAGAAATTGTCACTCCTTTTTGAAATCTAGTCATTGTGAGTTTCTTTTCTCCTACATCGTGAAAACTACCTGGGCATCATTTAATCTTTTTTAAGCTCTGATGCCTAAAATACCATGAAAAAACTCAGCTCAGAAAATCTCTCGAACAAATTTCCCCAGTTAAAACACGCGATCTTTAGATACCGAAGTATAATCTTGGAGAATGCCAAAAAAGGATTTTCCTTTTCATCCATTAAGGTCTGGAATGAAATCTCTATAACTAGCAGCGAGCTTCCTACCCTTTGCCAATTCAAAAAACAATTAAATGCACCTTTGATGAGCTGAAAAAGAAAGCGACCTGGCTTTATATATCTTTTATTTTATTCATCAGCTTTATATTTAATTATTAGCAGTTTGTTTATTGTGTAGAAATAATTTAAACTGAAAATCAATGATGCTATTAGATAGGTTCGCTTTTAATTGTTGGGGAAAAGGGTTTCTCTTGTCCATTTCCTGCAGAATATAATAATAAATCTTGGTTTTTTCGCAGTTTTCAAAATTAGTGTTCGCTTCTTCTAATCATAGGTCTATAGCGATTTGTGCTAATGCAATAATGGCCGAACACGACAAAATTAATTGATAAATAAAACCAACATTTGCTACATAAAAATGACAGTAGATGAGAGTGCAGTTTCAAAAATGATTCCTTGATTTCTTTGGCATGATATTAACAGGGAGTATTTTTAGTTCTGCGCCTTGTATGTATAAGATATTTCGGGAGTTTGAAAAATTACTGTTCATTTGATAAAAGCTTTAAATGTAAAATCGTATTCAACAGGCTTTTGCTATCAACTCTTGTTAAGTTTTGATATCAGAACTTTTCTTAAATCAATTCTTCTCCAGAAAGTCCATTTGGAAGTCAAAGATTTACGAAGAATAATTGTTATAAATAGCTAGAAATGGTGACAATATTTTTTTATACAGTCTAAAAAAGTACATTTTTCAATAACAAGATTACGAAGACGATGTCAATGATAGGCATGATTGGCATGTCTTGGCTACCGACTGATCTTAACAAGAAACAACACACTAGCACCAATGGCTATACCAAAATCCTGTTTAGACCAGGGGCGGATCCAGAGCAAACTTGAAGGAGAGGCAGTTGGTAGTAAAGGGGCTGAAAAATTTTCAAAAATTGATGACGAGAGAACGCTGTATACAAAAATTTCAGATCCATTTTCTGAATAAACAACATAATCCTTGAAGCAAATAACCTATTGGTCTCAGAAACATTTTCACCTGATTCACATTCTTCAAAAGGGGCGCACAATTTCCAAAAAAGGGGCGCCATACTTGCTTAAACTCGTCGAGGGAGAGGCAACTGTCCCTTCTTGCCCCACCCACCAACTGTCCCTTCGTGCCTGCAGAAAATGAAATATTTTATGAGCCCTTGAGCCTAGTCATTCTGCTAGTTTTCCTTATCAGTAAAAGAAAAGTAAAAAACAGACTTCCTTGCCACTCAAAAAACAGCCACAATGCTCGATAGGTGCCTATTGCTTCGATAGGGTCTTTCTATTTACAGAACTGTCAAAATCAGAGAAAACAACATTAATTTTAGCTATGAATACGAAAATACAGATGTCAAACATAAAAACCTGCCGTTGTGAACTCCACAGCTGTGAAAAAGGCGCGCTTGTCAAGTGTTGCCTGCAACCACGCAAATTGCTCTCAGTGGTGGGAACACGGAGCTTAAAAACATTGGCCGACTTCTACCTCCTATTAACTTTTCTTCTTTCTTTTCAAAACAGGTTCTAATGTTTTGCTTCTGAAAGCTTCTTTTTTTGTCAAGTTATCCATTATTGCTTATTTATTTCATCGTCACCAAAATGGTAAATGCTCATCAAAAGGTTTTCATTAAAGAAACGCTGTTACAATTATCATGAACATTTCTGCATAGAAAATGCATTATTAACGAAATAGAACGTATCAGAGAGATTTTAGTTAGAGAGTTTGTTGGAGTTCGCGTTACAACAAGGGCTTTATTTGTGGAAAGACATATAATCAAAGTTAATACAATGATATCCTGTAATAACGTCTTCCAACTGCTAGTTATACAAATGCAGATTTATTTTCAATTTTCAGGGAAATAACTGCTCAATAGTAAGTAATTACTCAAACAAAAATATATTTTGAAATTATTTCGAAATTCTTAAAATTTTCAGGTTTGGCTATAGATCGATCATAGTTTGGCCAGCATAGGTTCCAAATCTTTGATTGGCTGAGCGATCTAAATTCTCCATACCCCATCAGCCAATCAGAATTCAAGAATGTGACAACAAACGTGTCTCGCAGCTAGATTTAGGCCTGTTTTGGACGTTTTTGTCACTACCCACAAAAAATAAACGTGTAAAATGTGTTGATAGATAACCTAATTTTTTTTAAATTGAATCTCTAATAGATTTATGAAAAAACTGCCTTTGTACTCAGTCAAAATTCTTCCGCGATCGTCAGTTACGAAGGCTTGAAACTGTCCCTTTCAAACCCTTATAATAATTAGGGGGAGTGATAACATAAAAATTACAGCTTTTAATCTTTAAAAGTTGTTTTATCCACTTAATTAACAAATATGAACTTACCTTTACAAGCTGCTTTTAAAATATTTTCTTTTCGGCATTGATGCTTGTGTTACTGATGGGGAAAAATCGCTAAACTCCACTGAAAGAAAATGCAGGCAATCTTTCTCTCAGAATAACTACAATTGTAAAATTTCTCTTGCACCCAGGTACTTTATATATTCATTTTAAAGGCTTGAAGATCGATTAGAAGCTCGCGTCCACTGATGTTCACTGATATGGCCTTGCCAAAGCTGACGTCATTCGTCAACAATGAAAAGGGCGGGAAAATGAAATATGTATCATTTACGAAAAATTACTTTGCTGTGTTAAACATTTAATTTTCTTACATTTTCTTTGATAAGGTATGCTCTTGAATCTTTTTCAGAAAACCAGAAACTTTCTTTACACAGAATAGGTAATTTCCATAGATCAATACATGATAA